CCAAAACCCCAAAACCCCAAAACCCCAAAACCCCAAAACCCCAAAACCCCAGAGGATATCAATTGAATTTTTGCGAGTGCGTGAGTTGAGGTAGTATTAAGAACTTAATTTATTTACAAATTAACTTAAATATAAGATATTTACAATGATTATTTATATGTTAGTCATTTCAATATTAATTGAGTTTATTAGATTTGATTGCTTAATTCTGACTTTCAGAAGATCTTTCCCATTCCAATGGCTCCAATAGAACCCAAGAAGATTCCAAGAGTCAAGAACAGTCCGATCAATGTGCCAACAGATTCTTTAGAATCATCTGAAGCTCTTGATGGAGCTTTGATGGCGCATTGAGTACTGCAATATCCATTAGTGAAAGCGAAAAGAATCATGTTAATTAGCTTGAACCAATCAGCATCAACACCGAATAACCATGCTGGTGAAACATTAAGGGCAATCAAGAGGAAGGTTGCAATAAAAATTACTCTTACGAAGGTTAGAATAAGGACAAATTTATCAGATCCTTATCCGAACTTCTGGCCAGCAAGCCATCTTCCAATTGTGTCAAGCACATTGAAAACTGTAATTAAAATCAAAGCAGACCAAGCCCCCTTGAGTGAAGCATTATCGATGCCATCCATAAAATGAAGCCCAGTGTGAAGAGAAGTTCCTGGGAAAACAATGAAAGTAACAAAGAAGACAGAAGTAATAGCAGTCAGGAACTCCCATGCCATCAAGAAACTTCTTCTGACCATAATTAAGAATGCCATGAAAGGAGACATTGTTTGATGACTTGCCTTAGTCAAATCACCTTTAGGTGTCATATCACTCTCATGTCCGGTTTTGTTTATATCATTTGTAACACTTAACAATGACTTATCTTGTTCATCCATATCGTTGTAAGTACCGCTAATTCTTTTTTAAGTTTTATTTTTTTCGTCTGTAGCTCTTCTAACATAGTACTATGCGAATGGAAGTCTCATAAAGATAACCATTCCAATCGCAGCAATTACTAGGATGATAGCGGCTAGGATGAAATAAACAAGAGAACCCAAGAAGTTATTATTGCTACCCTCAACACCTGGTGGGAAGGCAGCTAATGTAATTGCTCTCAGAATGTTCAATGTGATACCACTGAGGCCATTACCAAACATCACAGCACCCATATACTTGAATGGGAGCATACCGGCAAGCCCGAAGACACTTCCTTGGACAATACCACCCATTGCTCCGAATATGACGAGGATCCCAATATCTGTAAAGAATCCACTTGTAGATCCCAAATAATTAGTAGTCAATGGTAAAATGATCATCAACACAGCAATTACCAAGAAGCCACCTGATATTCTGACTACATATGAGACTTTATAGCCGTAGAGTAGAATGATAACTTGTACAACAGTAAGAAGACTATTAACTGCAAACCCGAAAACGAATGAAGGTTGATATCTTGATTACTATTCAGAATATTGTTATAAGAAGCATGATATTAATTACCTTTTCCTCAAAAAAGTCAAGAGCAGTAAGGATAGCGTTCCAAGGGAGAAGAGCTCCAATACCAAATAAAAGCATCAACCAATAACCAACGTTTCCTTTGTCTTCTGGCTCCTTAATGAGTGGTATTTCATTAGAATAGGCTGGTGTTTCATTGTCAAATTGAAAATCGTCCTTTTTTGTCATATTGATAAATTAATACTTATTAAATACAAAAGTTAAGATAAGGATCATACTACGTCTATCAATTATCTATTCCTCTCAGTTTAGTAATGATGGGGTTTTGGGGTTTTGGGGTTTTGGGG